TGGTGGTGGTGGTGGTGGTGGAGGAGGCGTTGGTGGTGGTATAGGTGGTGGTGGTGTTGGAGGAGGTATTGGTGGTGGCGGTGGGGGTATTGGTGGGGGCATAGGTGGCAGTGGTGGTGTTGGAGGAGGCCGTTGGTGGTGGCATAGGTACCGGCGGGGGTATCGGTGGCGGTGTAGGTAGTGGTGGTGCTATTGGAGGAGGTGGTGGTATAGGTGGTGGTGGTATAGGTGGTGGTGGTGTTGGAGGAGGTATTGGTGGTGGCAGTGGGGGTATTGGTGGGGGCATAGGTGGTAGTGGTGGTGGTGGAGGAGGCGTTGGTGGTGGTATAGGTGGTGGTGGTGGTGTTGGAGGAGGTATTGGTGGGGGCATAGGTGGTAGTGGTGGTGTTGGAGGAGGCCGTTGGTGGTGGTATAGGTACTGGCGGGGGTATCGGTGGCGGTGTAGGTAGTGGTGGTGCTATTGGAGGAGGTGGTGGTATAGGTGGTGTTGGAGGAGGTATTGGTGGTGGCGTTATCAAAGCTTTCAATTCAATTGCTGCCCCTCCCCTCCCCTCCCCTATATATATATATATATATGCGGGAAGACTCAGAAAAAAAAATAAAATAAATTTTACTCAATTTAAAATTCCCTCCCTCTACTCAACTATTCCTTTTTAACATTATTTTTTTCTTTTTTGTAATAAATAAATTTCACTCAATTTAAAATTTTCTCCCTATGCTCAACTATTCCTTTTTAACATTATTTCTTTCTTCTTTGTTGTTGGTGGTGGTGTTGGAGGAGGTATTCCTTTTTTTGTTTTCATAATTTCCTTTTAACGTTATTTCTTTTTTCCTTAGGCCTCGTTTGGGAACATGTTAATTTAGTAATTTTTTGACTATTTGGTTAAAATATGAACTAAAAAAAACTAGTATGTTTGGGATAAATTTTTGACTTTTTACGAAAAGATGTGTAAAAAGCAGAGAGAAAAGCGAATCTTTGACTTTTTGGTATGGGTTGTTGGCTTTTTGGCTTTTTTAATAATTTTTTGACTTTTTTGCTAAACCGACCCTTCCCAAACAAGGCTTTGTCATTTTTTTTTTTATTCTTTTCCTTTTAAAAATTATTGTTTTTATTCATTCTTTTCCTTTTTTGTTTTTATGTAGAATTTTGAGGGCGTTACATATACTCAACTATTCCTTTTTAACATTATTTCTTTCTTTTTTGTAATAAATAAATTTCACTCAATTTAAAATTCCCTCCCTATGCTCAACTATTCCTTTTTAACATTATTTCTTTCTTTTTTGTAATAAATAAATTTCACTCAATTTAAAATTCCCTCCCTATGCTCAACTATTCCTTTTTAACATTATTTCTTTCTTTTTTGTAATAAATAAATTTCACTCAATTTAAAGTTCCCTCCCTATACTCAACTATTCCTTTTTAACATTATTTCTTTCTTTTTGTTGGTGGTGGTGGTGTTGGAGGAGGTATTCCTTTTTTTGTTTCCATTATTTCCTTTTAACGTTATTTCTTTTTTCCTTAGTCATTTTTTTTTTTTGATTCTTTTCCTGTTAAAACTTATTGTTTTTATTCATTCTTTTCCTTTTTTGTTTTTATGTAGAATTTTTCTTTTCCTTTTCCTTTTAGATTTGAATCTCATGATGTAAATATTAAATTTGAATCATTCATCACTTTTTTCATAATTTTTTAAAATTTCTATCTTAAACAATGTAACATGTACAAAAAAAAAATTCTACTTGTATATAAAAATTTTCACATAAAAATGGAACCATACATGTAAGAAACATCCTTAATTAAAAATTTGTATGAATAGTGTGTACAAATTTTTTATTTAAATATATCGATTTCACAAAAATCAATGGTTAGGTTTTTTTTTTGTTTTTTTTTAGTGGTTAGGTTGTTTACTCTGCGGTGGTTAGGTTGCCAAAGAGGTTGCCATCAACCACGTGGATGAATTGCTATCACAAGCACCTTAATGGCTGTGGTGACCCACCATCGAAATTTATTTACTCTAAATGATTAAAATTAAAAATAATATTATCGATTTAGAATTTTGTTTATATAAATTAAATTTATTGTAAATACGTCTCACACTACATCAAGTTAAATTTATATTATATAGTCCCTTTCTAAGTAAAATTTGTAGAAAAATCTTCAAAAAGAATCACACAATTATCCTTCATGTATTTTATATGTTAATGATTGGACATACTTCCTGTTCAAATAAAATTCGTTCACAATGTAATTTACCGAACACATCAGAATATTAAAATCAAACGTTTTTTAAGAAGATATGATAATATAAATTTGAATCTCAGTTACACACATTATAAATTTAACCAACATTAATGTTTCAAATATTCGTGTTCAGTTTCCGTCTTAGTTGGTACGTAATGTACCCTCTTACAGCTACCATTGCGGGGTCGGAGTCCCCTTCCTCAATCACATCGGCAACCCATGTGTATTCATCGTGGTCGGGCATTTCGGGGGCCACGTATTCGGTGCTGTTTGGGATAGCTAGCATGACCTCATCAATTTCACTGTGTCAGAATATGAAGTTATGTAACGCCATCGACGCACATACAAAGGTCACTTGATTAGAGAAACTCAACTTCTGAATATTCCACAATGCCCCCCACCTCAACTTCCACGCATCGAATGTCCGCTCAATACAACTACGCAATGACGAATGTACCTTATTGAATAGTTCGAACTCACTCTGTGGTGTTCGATTCTGATGGACATTTTGGTGATACCTATACCCCTTGTATGGGGCTAAGTACCTTGTCTTGTTGCTATAGCCGCTATCCACCAAATAGTATTTTCCTGCAACGAACACAGAGATGTTATTCAATGTTGCCTAATTGGTGACCATTTGGTTGTCACTTTGCAGTTTATAACTACAAAACTCAAAATTACTGCCAATAAGACATCGTTTGAAAAGAGTTTTTTTGGTTTATAAATGGTTGTCACTGTCACGCCCTCAAAATAATAACATTAAACCCATCAAATAAGACATATGAGATAACCACATTCCTTTATACATCAGAGTTTTATTACAAAAGTATTACATGTTAACAACAAAAGCAAATGCCCTATGGGCTTACAGCTTTCCAAGTTAACACTTGGTTGCAACAAAAGAGTATTAACTCATTACACATTAAGCCCTTGGCTTGAAATTACATGTAATACATCAAAAAGGAAACGACAAAAGTATGTCCGCCTCTAGCCTCCATAAAGGCACCAAATTCCGGTCAATATGATTCACTAGAGTAGCCTTTTAAAGGGGATGGTCCTGAAAAAGCCCGCAAATTTGCCTTGTTAGGCCAAACCTTAGGCAATTATCAATTAAGCTTTTCCTAAGATTATACCAACCTTTTAAATTAAAAACAACTGACAAACTGAGACAAGACATTAGATATCGTTCTAAGAATTCTTAGATGCAAACTAAAAGAACCGTTTCATTGTTTCGATACCTTATACCATGTAAGGGGCCGTTGCTTTTGCATGAACAAGGACCCTTTCATCCAATCAACGTGTGAAATTCCGCTTGGAGAAACTAGATTCATCGCTTCTCCTTTAAGCCCAACCTGTGTAAATGAGAACACTCATGAGTTGAAAACCGTCTCAAGAAAACAATGGCTTGTAAAAAATACACAGAAGTAATATTCATTGACCTTGCACGTCCATTTCTGCCAAGACAAGTCCCTCTTTCCTTCGTCTAGACCATGTAGAACCACCGGCCCAAGGACTCCTGTGTTCCATGTCTCAAAATGGGGCCCATTGTTCTTCAACGAAAACAAACATTAATTTTGAGATAAATATCAGCAAAGAAACAAAAGATATAGAAAAGAAACATTAATATTTTGTAGTGCTTATACTAAAACACCAAATGTTTTCATTATTTAGATATAGAAAATTCACCATGCTTAAGACAATTTCTTGAGTTTCATATGCTAAAATGATTGCACACACTCGGCTATGTAGTATTTTTATGAATTTGTGTATTTATATAAAAGCCACAGCCTCTCCAAAATGGGAATAGAGACTGCGTTTATCTTGCCCTTTCTAGGTCCTGCATTGGTAGGAGCCTTGTGCCTTTTTTTATATATAAACTATAGTCAAATACTCAGGACTTCAAAACTAACGAAAATGAGGCTCGTGAACTAACCGGCAATCCAACAGTTACACTGAGTAGTGAAATTCTGTTTGTTCCAGCATGCAGGTTGGCATTTGCTGTAAAAGTAAATTTTCTGTTTTTCCGAGTTCCGAAGGCAGACCCTATAAATCAAGCAAAACAGAATGATCATTCAAGCAATTTTTTAGCATGTGTATTTTTGTTGCCTGTTGGAACTAATTCATTACCAGCTAGACATAGTTGAGTAGTAATAGCCCTGTTTGGTAGCGTTTTCAAAATTTTGTTTTCATTTTTTGTGTTTTCAGAAACAAAAACAATGAAGAGTTTGAATGCGCCCATCATTTTCAATTTAGAAGGTGTTTTCATAGAACTTTCCCAAAGAGAGTATTCAAAAACAGTTTTCTGTATCAATTTCAGTTTTTTGTTTTTTTTTTTTGTTTTTTGTTTTCAAGAAGAGAAAACAGAAAACGAAAACACAAAAATCAACAATTTACCAGATAGTTGCCCATCTGTGAACACGTGCAAGGCATCGCCTGCTGACTGCACAGTGAGAGTGAGATGTTGGCCACTATGCAGAAACGACTCGGATGGACTTATTTCAACACTGAAAATTCATAAAATCACAAAACATAAAAATAAAATAAAATTAAAAAAACCCAATACAGTTATGATCAGAAAATCCACTAAAGACGATAATTCAGTACTCGATCTCACCTGGTCATGTACCAGAGATAGTCATTGGTATCGCGGGTAACATTTAATTGTTCTAAGAGACCAACAACTGTGATCTTGGAATCTTCATCAGCTGAGGATATGTCTTCGCTGAATGTTTCCCAAGAGAGAAGCTCAGCATTGGTTGGCAACATTTGCATTTGGGATGTTTGAACTCCGACCTGCAATTGAGAGATGGAAAATCTCATCTTGGAAAAAAACTTTGGTGTATAACAAAAAAATAAAAATCACATTTCTCATTCAAATTACCTTGGCGGTGTTGAAGACAACATTTTTGCAATTGGGAAGAATGCTGATGGACCAAGGCAGGAGATCATAGTGCACGCCTCTAAATGTCACCCTTGAAGTTGTCTAAATGGTAGTTTGAAAGAAAAGTTGCACAATCTCCCGACTTGGAAAAGAATACGTGTGCCTAAAAAAATAAAAAACAGAAATCATCCAATTATCATAAATAGCAAAGCAATTTCAAGAAATAATCGACAACTATAATTATTTCTAGTGGCCGGTTCAAATGCATCCTACGATGGTGGAAGAGGCTGCAATGTAGAATGCCTTCAAGAGAACTTTGGTGCAATCGGTATCATTTATGTTTTTTGTTTTGAAAACTCTGAAAATGAAAAATGATATAGAAAAATGAACTAAATCACTCTATTCTTAGGAAACACTTTCAAATTGTTTTATGAATTTCCAAAAATTGTCACACAAAAATGAAAACGACATAAGAATCAGGGGTATTTTTTAACAATGTCCTTGAAATTGAGAAGGCGGCAAACCTGTGAATAGCTTCCCAAGTGAATAGCCCTCCCTCCCCCCTCCGGTATAGGTGGTGGTGGTGGTGGTGTTGGAGGAGGTATTGGTGGTGGCGGCGGTGGTGGTAGGGGTATTGGTGGGGGGCATAGGTGGTAGTGGTGGTATAGGTACTAGCGGGGGTATCTATGGTGGTGTAGGTAGTGGTGGTGCTATTGGAGGAGGTAGTGGTATAGGTGGTGGTGGTGGTGGTGTTGGAGGAGGTATTGGTGGTGGCGGCGGTGGTGGTAGGGGTATTGGTGGGGGGCATAGGTGGTAGTGGTGGTATAGGTACTAGCGGGGGTATCTATGGTGGTGTAGGTAGTGGTGGTGCTATTGGAGGAGGTAGTGGTATAGGTGGTGGTGGTGGTGGTGTTGGAGGAGGTATTGGTGGTGGCGGCGGTGGTGGTAGGGGTATTGGTGGGGGGCATAGGTGGTAGTGGTGGTATAGGTACTAGCGGGGGTATCTATGGTGGTGTAGGTAGTGGTGGTGCTATTGGAGGAGGTAGTGGTATAGGTGGTGGTGGTGGTGGTGTTGGAGGAGGTATTGGTGGTGGCGTTATCAAAGCTCCCTCTCCCTCCCCTCCCCTCCCCTCTGTTATCAAAGCTTTCAATTGCTGCCTCCCCTCTCCTCCCCTATATATATATATGCGGGAAGTTGAGATGGAAATAAAACTCAGAAAAAAAAAAAAATTCAGTTAGTTCAAAATTCCCTCCATATGGCTCAACTATACCAGACGGCGGGAAGCTGAGATGGACGACTCATACGTCGTGGACTTGATCGTGATTGGCGGCAACAAAGTCGTCGATCCCCTCCCCTTCCCTATATTATTAATTTTTCTTTATTCTTTTCATCTTTTATTCATTCTTTTCCTTTTAACATTATTTTTTTTTCCTTAGTCATTTTTTTTATTCTTTTCCTTTCAACATTTTTGTTTTTATTATTTTCCTTTTTGAAATAATTTATTTTTTTTATTCTTTTCCTTTTAACATTATTATGTGTTTTACTCTTTTCCTTTTTTATTCATTTTTTTTTGTTTTCATTTTTTTCCTTTTAACATTATTTTTTTTTTTTACTCTTTTCCTTTTTTAGTCAATATTATTCTTTTCCTTTTAGCATTATTATTATTTTTATTTTTTTCGCTTTTTTAATTCTTTTTTTTTTTGTTTTCTTTCTTTTCCTTTTAACATTATTTTTTGTTTATTCTTTTCCTTTTTTAGTCATTATTTTTTTTAATCTTTTCCTTTTTTATTCTTGTCCTTTTAATATTTTTATTTTTTTTATTCTTTTCCTTTTAACATTATTAATTTTTGTTTATTGTTTTCCTTTTTTGATCATTTTTTTGTATTCTTTTCCTTTTTTGTTCAAATTTTTTTTTTGATTGTTTTCCTTTTTTATTCATTATTTTTTATTCTTTTCCTTTTAAATTTTTTTAAAAAATTATTTTCCTTTTTGTTTTATTGTTTTCGTTGTAACAAATTGGAGTGATCTTCATTTCATGCCATGGATGTCCTTGTGAATTTATTTGAAATTGGAATTTATCTATTGGTTTATATTACAGGAAGCTACCAAAATACAATGTGACAGCCACCTTGCAAGTAAGTTTACATACACCAACTACATACAATACAAGTCAAAGAACGCATAAATGGACACAGAATGAATATGGATGTATTAGATTTTACATAATATATATTATGTGTTCAATTCTATGATTAGTTTATGTGCTCGTGGCAGAACTATTTTGACTTCTAGCATACACGTGTTTTGGGAATTGGGCTAAACCCAATTGTTGTGTGGCTACCCAATTTGAACTATTTGTTGCTTCTTTTTCATTTAATGTTATGCAGTGTGCAGGGAATAGAAGGACTGCAATGAGCAAAGTAAGAGCAGTGAAAGGTGTTGGCTGGGATATCTCTGCCATTGGAAATGGTTTGCTTCTATTCATTCTCTTTTGTACATTTTCACTGCTTCTGTGTTTTCCAAAACATTTTGCAAAACCATATTCATTCTTGTTTTCTCTCTCTCTCTCTCTCTCTCTCTCTCTCTCTGTTGATATTTTTTCTTCTGCACATATTTGCTTAAGCCATTTGGGGTGGAGCCAAACTCGCTGATACTCTTGAACTTGTGGGAATACCTAAATTGACGAAAACCACTCCTTTGGGTGGAAAGCACGTAGAATTTGTAAGCATTGATATGTGCAAGGTGAAAATTTCTTAAATTCATTTAATCTTAATTATAAAGAAATTACACTGTTTGGTGGATTAATTCAATTCCAAGTAATTAGGACTATTAGGAGGAGAAATGAGGTCCATATAAGGCATCGATTCCATTAATTCGATCAACAAATTCTGAAGTTGACATTTTACTTGCTTACGAGATGAATGGAGAGGTAGGAAATTTTAATGTATTGTTGCTTGCGTTGCGTTTGGCAGCATGGAATTCAAGCATTGGATTTGGATAGCAAATTCAAGGAAGAAATGAACTGTAATATCTTCTAAGCTTCTTGAATCCTCTTGTTCTTGACTAATCTTCCTCCGTTCTTATTGAAATTTGACTGGTTTACCATACCGAAGCCTCTAAATAGAGATCATGGATATCCACTTCGTGTGGTTGTCCCCGGTGTTATAGGTGCCCGCTCTGTAAAATGGTTGGATTCAATCAACATAATCGGAGAAGAATGTCAGGTTGGTTATGAAAAATGTACAAATTAGAGTTCTCCAATAATTATGACCTTTCACTTCTAAATTAAATTATATCTTACACACTAATGTGTAACGACAATAAACAGGGGTTTTTCATGCAAAGGGACTACAAGATGTTTCCTCCTTCGGTTAACTGGGAAAATATCGACTGGTCCACTCGAAAGCCTCAAATGGATTTTCCAGTCCAGGTTTGTTCTGTGTATTTGACAGTGGAAATTACATAGCGTTCACAAACAGAACCATTATGAGCATAATAGATGCACTGTGTTTGGATATGCGTTGGATTTGAGAAAGGATTTGAAATTGACAGATTTCAAGTACTTGGGTATTTTAAATCCTTTGTTGAATAAAAAAGATAGACCAAAACTCAAAATTGACAAAACTTCCCTGTGCTCCTCTACCCATGGTAATATTCGACTCAAAAACTTTAAATATGCGCGTTAAGAGTTGAGGTTAAGGTGTGAGATTAGGGAGAATTTGAATTAATTATTTCAAATCCATTGAAAAGGTTGCCTACAATCCTTAGTAGACTTGAAACAATAGTTACATGCTGTCTGTCCATCCAAAAAAAAAGGGCTTCTGTCTGCCCATCCAAAGCACAAAAAAAGAAGATGAAAGAAATAAAGAAAAGAGAGAGGGCCTATCACCTTTCTTTATCCTTTTCATTGCTGTAAAAGGCCAAGACCCTAGATTGAGAAGGGTGTACCAACTGAACTCTTCAAGATGAAAAAAATAAAATTCTCGAATCATAGAACATCGATGATAAAAGTAAACAAGAGGTCGACAATAACAAGGCATGCTGCCAATTAGTTCCAATTGACGTTTTGGTGGCAAATGCTACTGTGCAAAGAATTGTCAGAGCTAAAATGATGGTTTGGCCATTTTCAAGAGAATATTTTATGGGAAAAGACGATTGAATAATGGCATTCAATTTTCTATATGCACTAGCTGTTGCGCATTTGCTTCGAAAATGAGCGAAAACACTAAACAAAATGGCTTCATAGCCTTTGCTAGAAATTTATACAAAACAAATATCCATCAAAATACTAACAGATTTAAGTCCATACAACAAAACAAATATCCATCAACCATCGTTTAAGAGTATTTATACAAAACACTAACAGATTTAAGTCCTCAATTTTTTTTTAAAAAAAAAATCTTAGTTTAGCTCCCAATATCACCTGCTCGATCATAGCAACTATTACCCATAGCAACACCTGCAAAAACAAATTAAATTGTCGTTAAGGTTTGTTCACTTGAAATTTATGATTCAAATCATAACAAATTGAATTTTGATATATTGGTCATTACACACTCTTTTGTCATTTTGTTTTCGTAAATTATTTATTTTCATAATCAAGTTGTAAACATCATAATTAGTTATGACATCAAAATGTTCTAGCTAAAATCTATCTTGGCATATCAAGAAATTAGAATTAAGCAGCCACATAAAATTTGCAAAGCAAATGTAAGCAAAATGAACATAATTTCAACTGAA